TTTTTTTTTTTTGGATCACCACGAAACTGTAGATGATAAATAGCAGCAGGTGAATGAAAATCAAGAATTACCGTTAAATACTGATCTGAAATATCTTTACAACGAAATAGGCCGTTGTCAGCAACGCCCATTTCCGCTGCCGTTTATATATTATCATCGTTATTTCGACCAAAGATTAGTTTATGACCTAGTAAAAATGAATATTCTAAAAAAATTATTAAATCATTCCAAAGTGCAATTTTTGACAAACAACTCCTTTAATTTTTCTTCCTCAACTGATTAGATACTTTGCTTGTCAAATTTTGGTTGGGAAAATTCGGGCTTCTTATGATAAATGCTCACATCCCAAATAAAGAAAGCTTCCAATTGTCAAATATATCCTTTTATTTTTTAATATATCAAATATCCCTTTTATTTGTTGCCTATGAACTTTTTTAGCAGCATCGAGAAAAATCTGTCAAACAAACGTACATAAGGAATATTAATACTTATATACGGAACATTAATACAAACATTGTCAACCAAACTCTTGCACAATGTATTTCATACTTGTGACCAATTCGGTTCCATAAATCACCGTTTGATGTATTCATATTCGTTATATCATTAATTATACATGCATGTTCTATATCTCATAATATCATGTGTTGTTTTCTTTTAGCGTAGTACCGGAATCATTTTTTGATCGCATCATGATGACCTGATCCTGCTAGGAGGCATGATAAAATGAGCATTCTCTCCGACATAATTATGGATCTTCGGATTACAAGATGTTATCATTCATCAGAACACTATTTTCCATTTCAAATTCCACAACAGATTGTTTGCTTTACTTTTACATGCACTGCCTTTTCATAACAACTCAGTTAACATTTATACATTTTGCTTCTGTTACCTTCATGTACGTCATGTCGATCTGATTTGTAACGTGTCAACCTTTTCACCACTTTATAGTTGGTGAACCGCAAAAACATTAACTGGAAGATAAGTGATTTAAATGACTTGGATTTAAATTTATACACCGTATTGAATATTACAATGACACTATAAGATCTTTATTTAATTCTTCACAAAGCAATGTTAACTAAAGCGACTTAAATCAATTTAACCGACTTAGATTTAAATTTATATATCGTATTAATCAGCCAAAGTTAAATCCAAAGGTTCACGAAGAGCAAAAAATATCGCAAAACAGCTCCGAATGGCAGTTGCGGAAGCGCAGCAACAATTTCGTGTTACATCATGTATCCGACAAAATACATTGGTCCGACGTTCCCATGGAGTATTAAACTATAAAATCACCTTAGGATATTAATTTTAGTACAGATAACTTGTAGACATTCTTTTTTCTTCTCTCTTCATATGATTCATCATCATCCTAAGGATAGATTTTAAGGTGTTCCAGTAGTTCGAAATTTAATTTGAAATTTAAATTATATTCGTGTTATTTAATCTGCTCTATCTGCAGTGCTTTGTTTGAACCAGTACCTTATCTAATACACGATATCATTGGCGCCCCGTACAGTTTTACAGCAACCTCAAATGGCTGTTTTTTTCCAAAAATATCCATCCATAACTTGTATTCCAAATTAGGTGTACCGTTGGCGTATTCAGCAAGAGCATCAACCACTGCATCAGCATACCAGAAGCGATCTTCTGTTGTAGGAAAGCCTGAATATATGACATTCAAATTAAAAATGAATGCTCAATAAAGTTTTAACATACTGTCAATTTAATTTGAAAAGATTTGGCAGCGAATGTATAAATAAAGCTGTTAGTAGTTTGATAATTAAAAATAAATCTGGTTTTTTGATTTTATTTTCAGCTTAATAATTTTTCGAAAGCATGAAGGACTTCAGACACTTCATTCCAAATAAATTTAGGAATGATACCAGTGAACAGTGCCAAAACTTTTAACTTATTCGAAAAATTTCAAGTCCGAACTCAAGCAAACTCATAGAATCATTGGGATTGGTGCTTTCTTAATTTTTTCACCACTTTTGATGCGGTTTGTGATGGAAAGCTTATGGAATAATTTCGAATGAAATTAAATGGAAGTGAAGGCATTTAAAAGTTTTTAATTGTTCGCTGAATGACTTTCGTCATAAACTTTGTTTGCACGTAATTTGTGCTTAAAAAAATTGAATTTTCCAAAGCACTAGGAAATAAAAACTGTGGGAGTTCTGAATTCAAATGAAAAACTAAAAATTTTGGTCTAACACAAAATCCTTTTTCAGTTGGCACATTTTTTCCAGAACTGATGAGAAAAATGCGATCTCTATGCCAAATAGTCAATGACTTAAGGAAATTTAAAAATCGCTGTCAGTCTATTTAGATGTCATCACAAATTTTACATTCTTCTTTAAAATTGAATCTTCATGAAACAATTACCAAGCAGAGAACAAAACTGTAAGTCTAAGTGGTCAAAAGTGGAAAGAGTACTTTTTTTAGCGCTGAATAATCTATTCGAAAAGTATGAGTAATAATTGATTACCATCATAGGAGAGTCCTTGCGCTTGTTTAAGATATTCCAGACTTGCGCGTATTTTCTCGTACTCGTGATTGAGGCAAACCAACCAACGGCGTCCTTCTTTGTTGGCGACAAAAATCGGTTGTGTTTGCTGTGGACGTTTGGACCCATAATGACTATTCATGCATCCTGTTTTCAGGGCATAGATCCCACAGTGCTTGTAAGTAGTGATGCAACATAACCGACCGACCTTCGTAAATCCTGTCGCTCTTCAGAGACGACACTTCAGTCACTTTGTTTTGGTTTAAAGGATAGAATTATTGAGTAACAATGCCTAGATAATGATGCGTTTTAAGCAATTCAGATAACACTGTCTGTTCCAATGATAATTGTCAAGCAATGATCAAAATGATGTATGCTGTTGTAAAAAAATTAAGTGAATTGATAACTTCTAGACATTTATGCATACCTCTAGTGAATTTTCCTCGTTTTTCTTTGTTGTGATATGTTATGTCTAAAAGAGAACATTTCTTGAATATTAAATGAATATTAAATGAGGAAGCAAATGAGTGACCGTGTGATAATATCAGGTTATTAGTTATTGGTATCATTAACTTCGATTCATTTGAATGATTAAAAACTATAACTTCCGAACAATTGAATGACTGTCATGTTATTATTGAAATTTAGATCATTTCCACTCAAATAGCTCACATGTTCGACTGTTGGAACCGGTACCATTGCTACTATTACCGCTTTGAGATCGTCTTCGATTGTGAGTATCGTTACCATTGCTGCTGTTGTAAGAGGTTACCAAGTCCTGTTGCTCCTGTAAAGAAAATATCTTCTATGAAGAAAATGTTTTCAAATATATAGGGTATCAAGTTGGTGTAATATTTCGAATTCCCAACTAACCACATCATTGTCGAATTCAGCAATTCCATCACGATACAGGCCAACAAAAACCCCTTGATACTGCGCAATAGTTGGCTCACAGCGACCCAAAATTTCTCTCAAACACTGTAATATTTCAAGATAGACTTCAACAATTTCAAACGATAATTCTACTCGTTGACGAAACAATACCTAATTTCTGAATACAATTCATCCATATTTTAATATATTACTGTATTGCTTGATTCCCCAAAAAGCAACCGAAGGTGGCGCAATAGTGAACATCCTAATTCAGAGCACTCCAAACAACAAATTAAACTGATTAATTTCAATTTTATCTCTTTTCATTCTCCAAAATATCTTTGAGAAAGGCCAGTTTATTGCGTTAAATAAATTTATTGCAGTGTTTTGATCCATTGAAAAAATGCGAGAGCATTGAATACATCCGTAAGGCATGTTTTATACTTCGGAGAAGCAATATGAAACTCAAATAAAAGCACCGAGTTTTGAGTTGGAATTTTGAATGTTTTTCCACCAGACATATCTAAGTGAATTTGGTGCGTTTCGCTTGCATGAAATTCAGCCCTTCGTCGTTGTATTTCATTGTTCAAACGCCACGGTCCAATAACCGACGTATACTGTAAACGCTTATTAACTTATAAAAGTTTCTTTCATGTACGTAATTCATTGACAAACTTGTTCGTGAATATTTTATACGTAATTCACCAACATCTTGCACTCATCTCCAATTAGAAAAAAGTATAGTTGAGAACTGACACCTTATCAATGATACCGTGCTTTAGATTGAATTCACAAATTGCAATTTCAGCAGGTATGCATATACCATCTACATTGCCATATGTTTGCACCGAAATAAACAAAAATCGAGCTCGCTGAAACATTTTCAAAATGCTCGAATAGCTTCAGAAAAATTCAAAATCATATTGCTGGGTCAATATTTCTAGATTTGTTGTTCACTTCTGACATTTGTTCAAGAAGAAATCAGAGAATCCAAAACTTTTAATACTAACTCGAATTTCATCCAATCCATTAAGAGTGCGTAGAAATTCAAATACTCGTCCTTTATCCTTTTCATATTTTTCCTTGTATGTCCACGGACTGATACCATTTTCTGTAATTTTTTAAATTCAAAATTAATTATGAAGAATGTTAATTTTCTCTCATTCACTTAATGCAATTTATTTGAACAAACGGTGATATTATAGAAGACAGCTTTTCCTTCCCATCAATTTTATCCATTTTCATTTTTCTTCATATATGTTCCGAAGTGATGAACCTTCTGAATCATAATCTTTCTGGTTCAGCGGTATACCAATCATTGAGTCTTCCGGATAATCGTTTTCATCAAACTCATCAAGTTTCTCATTTTGTCCTTTGTCCTCAATTTCATTAATCTCTGCACTGCAAATTCTTTTAATTAAACTCCTGATCGGCAATGAAAAAAAAAGCAATATTAAGAGGATAAGGTACAGATATATCTCTGCACCACAATTGCTTAATCCTTTTCTCGTCTCACCACTTTCTTCCTCATTCGGTTTCTAAAAGTTTTGGTGGAAAGATGACAGGACGAGATGCAAAACTTACTCCGTCGCCTCATGTTCATGTTTTTTCCGTTTCACTAACACTCTTGGTTGATGCATTAAAATGAAGTACTCCTCGATATGACGTTTCATTTTTGCTCGATCTTTCCAGACCTATTTAAAAACTATTGAGTTGTACATTTGCTCGTTTTCTATGTCTTTGCTCTTACATACTCCGTCGCAAAATTTAATTGTTTACTGAGATGTCCTCTAAATACAATCTTTGCAAATGTTGCAAATGATGGTATGGATAAAAGATGAAAATCTCTTGGAATTTAGGATTTCACGATCCTAAATTAAAAGGCCATATTCACCCTTGAAATCGTCTCCTCAATTTCAACCTCAATCCATTATTCTGGACAAGTTGCATAACATTCCTCGGGATTCTTGTAAGGGGAATTGCCTCATCATAAGCGATTTTCTGATATGCTTCAACTAATCAGGTTGCGCGCAAAAAGAGAAAAAAAATCTAATTAAGTGCTGGGAAGTCATTCAACTTCATGAGCGTGTCAGATGGCTGACCTTCTTCTCCTCACTCGTAAGGCGTTCCCACAGTGGTGTTACAATACGGATTAAATACGGTGAAATTATATCATCCTGATAGTAATGCCTGCGTCCCGTTATTTTGATTCGTAATTCCTGCGCAAACATACAGAAACCATTGGTGGCAGCAGTTGGCATTACCACCGTTTTGAGCTCTTTTTGGCACTTACCAAATATTATGAGCTTACTGCAATTTACAACTCAGAGATTTGAAATGAACTGTCGAGTAAATTCATTTTCATAACAATGGATTCAAGCAGAAAAATTTCTGTGAAATGAAGAATGTTGCGCATTCAGATGAAACTTCTGAAAATTCGATTATAAAGCTTCAACTCTTGAGAAATTATGACTTGTCTTGATTGCGAACAATATTTGCCTGGTCATTCAGATGATTTTTAAAGTATATAATAAAATATGATAATAATACAGGAAAGACTGAGAAAGGCCTTACTAAGAATAGTCTTCGTGTGGGAAAATGAATGATTTGGACCAATAATGTATCAATTAGCAACCGTGTACAATGGAGTCTGAATCAAACTCCATTCTAATTTATAACTTCCTTCTATTCATTTATTATGCAAATTTATCCACATATGAATCAGGACCTTTCAGTAGTCCAAATGACCGTTTAATTTTATACACTTGCAATATTTTCATGCAGCAATGACTTCTTTGCGCTTCATAACTCTTCTCATTACTCGGTATTTCACTTCAGTTCTTCACAAAATCTGAGTTCAGCACCTAGCTGTAGCAATCATTAGGTAGTTTGAGGCATACGGAACGTATTTCTAAAAGTTTCAGCAGGCCGATAAGAAACTGACCGATAGACTGGCTAAGTTAAGTGGTCCTAACTATCAGCAATAACTTAATCTGCAGATGAAATAAACTGAACGGGTTTGAAGGTTTCTTTTGTGTTTTTTGTGAATCATTAAAGATCCATTCACAATCTGTTCGGCATCGCCATCTTCAGAATCGTGTTATGGACAGAGTCTTACTGATGTATTGATATTTCATTTGAGCTCGTAGTTATTTAGTGCGTCGTTGTAATAAATGGCTTTGTTGCGCAAAAATGACAAAGTTGCATTTGAACACTTTCCAATCCTTTGCAAATGTTTTCTTTTTTTTTATGACAGAATATTTATAAAGCAGCGAGAGACGCAAGGATGTTTCACTGATGTTGTGAAAATCTGTCAAAACACGTAGAAAGAAGTTTCCATAGTCCTTTCAGCGACTGTTGACGAGCACATTTCTGATGCCTTGTAACGGTAGCTGCACGTAACCGTTGAAGCTTCTGTACTCGCCGACATTCCAGCAGATGTTCATCGATTAACTGAAAAGTTATCAGTTCAGAAAAGAGTTATGTACCCAGAATCTGTGACTGAGGAAAGGTTACTGAAATAATTGAGTTATACTAATAATAGAAACATTCAAACTTATCACTGGCTTATGGCACAATTTACCATCTGTTGAAAAGCTAAAAATTCAAATATGATAGAAGCTACATTAAGTCTAATATTCATTGTGATTCGTCGATCATCCTCACTTCCGCTCATTTTCTCGCAGGAGTTACTGACAGTGGTAGCAGAGATAGCTACTGCTCCTGCTGCAACAGCAGCTCGAGCACGAGCTGCTTCAATCATGCAAATAGTGATCGTTGCTTCATCGCTTACATCCGAGTAAAGTGAGCAGAGGAAAGCCAAGTCATCCACCAAGTCTACTCGTTCACTTCCGTCACTTTCCCAATACTGCAAACCTCGCACTTCACCGCCGATACTTCAAGTGTATTGAATAAAAATTAAACGTTCAAAATATACTTTCAACTACCATGAAACATGCCCTAAAACATCCTATATTACTCATTAAGGAAAAAGTTCCTCTTCTTTTTTTTGTTATTAGCTCTAAACATAAGGTCATAACTCGAGCAATGAACTTCTAAAACCTAACCGAAAACATCTGATGAATCATACAAACGACGCTCTCTACATTGATTGATAATGGCAAACGATTTAGTTAGATAATACTAGGGAAAGTCCTTCAGTGAAATTCCTGTTTCGGTAAAGAATTGAATAAATTCTTTGGGATTAAATTTGGAAAGGTTTTATGTCATGTCACTATCCAACAGTAACAGACTCAATTGTTTATTTGATTTAATGTTGATAGAAAAGTGATGCATATGTTTACCTTGGCTGCATATCTCATCAGATCACTATATACCACTTGTATCAGTTTCCAAATGTCCCACCGTGTTACTACTGCTATGTCTTCACTATCGTCATCGGATGGAAATCGTGTCACCAGATTATTTAACTGGTAAAATATATGCAAATATGCATCGATGTAAAGAAGTATTGATTGCGCACTGATGCTCCTGTAATATTAATTAAGAACCACGACGGAGCTTCTCGAATGCTTGACTCTTAACTTTCTTGGGTTCCATGTTTTATCGGTTATGACTGAATGAAATTACTCAGTAGCTGGATACTGCTACCTCAGGAGACAATGGTATCTGATCTAAATAAATTCAATGCAAATAGTACTCGTCGATAAATTCGCGCAGCTGTTTCGCGCAACACAGAAGAGCTGCGCGTCGTACGGTTTTTGTTGAGCTTTTCTTACTCATTACTTTCATGGCTTCTTCTACAACTGCCATTCTGTTTCTGCTTCCGTTACGTGATCTACGATTCAAGGCAACTGCCAATATCGCTGCAATTGCTTCTGCTGCTGATCGATCATCGGAAGCACTATTGCAGAGAGTGATACGCGTTTGATGGCCCACAGAAAATAGCGACGAATGGGATGCTGAAATTCAATAGAATTTGCTTAGCTCAATGGCTTTGCCTTTGACTTTGAGGAAGGTAGAGTACTGATTGCGCTTGGCGCAATTGCCCTTACGAATTCTTCATCTCTCGTTGCGTTAGTGACTTTATTCATGAATACACTTTTTATAACAATTTCTTGAAATTTAGTCATCCCACTCGCGGTATTTATTTGTTAATTGTTTACATCTATTTTAAATAAAAGTTCCTAATTTTAGAGTGTTCAAGATAGCACAATAAACAGCTGTATTGAAGTACAAAGGAATCTGAATAAACAATTTTTCCATTTAAAGGAAACTGAACTGTCCTTTCCAACTAATCTGTTACACATCGGTCTTACTGTTTTTTTTGGAAAGCTTTTCTGCTGTCGTCTTTATAGAGCTAAATCCAATTCATCAAATTCAAGTATAAATTAAACATAGAATGTGTCTAGCTGAGTTAACAATTAAAATAAACTGACTTGAAGTGTCCACTTTAATGCTTCGATTACAGCGTTGTTTGATTGATTGGTTACATTTCTGAAAATTTACATCGGGTCTCAGATTTATTCCAGAATGTGGTCGTACTTTTCCAAACAAATTGTTAGAGAATGTAAGATTGCATGTGTACAAAATGGACTTCATGATGTACATGACTACTATTAAATTCAGCCTGCACTTCTTATGCCTTCAACAAGAACCTCGATAAAATGTAACAATTTATGTAATCTGGCGCTATTGTGATACTGGTGCTGCCTCATCCTCTGCAAAGCTGTAGGCGGTAAGGGAGTTGTATCACCGTTTTCTAAAACCGACAGGGCAAATTTCATATCAGCTTCACATTCATTCCGAAGGTTCTGCAAATAACTCTGATAAAATATATTGTGCAGAATATTTAAAATATGAGACAAGAAACTGTCACAGTTGATAACTTTAAATAACTGATGCGACAACATTAAGAAATTACTTTCTGCAATTCAGAAAATACAATAATGATCTCTTTTCCTCTTTTTGAATTTTCAAACTCAAGTTAAACATGACGTGAGACCGTACATAAACAGTAAATAATAAGTTCAACAAGGGGATTTATTCATCCATCAATCACCTTAATTGTAAACCCCTTAAAACGTACTTGTTTCGCTTTGCATAATGCAGTAAAGTCTATTGCAGACATCACAGGATCTTCACTGAGCACTTTTAAACTGGCTTCTATCCATTTGTTTATTTTCTGAAACTCAAAAGTTTTCGCACTATTACCATATTTACAAGTCACAATGGAAACAATCAAATTTCAGTTCCTTTCAATTTCAGTTTAAATGAAAACCTGAATGCTTTGTTGTAAGGTACGCAAATCTCCAATCAGTTTTTGGTGTTCATGTTCGAGTTCATTCAGAGTTACCAATTTGTGACCATTGTGTCTATTTACACAGCATTCCAGACATACCACACGCTAAATCATTTCTCAATAACTAATGTAAATCATCTCCTGGAGATGAATAGGCAGCTCTTGGGTGGAAATATCTTAGTGGATAATTATAAAGAATTCTGCGATATAGAGAGAGCTATCGGAGCGCTTCATCTGTCAACTTGTAATCAAATGTAACAGAAGCAAAAGGGAATACAATTAATGTAATTAATTTTGCTTTTTCTATAATCAGTAATAATTTACCAAGCAATCATCGTCATCTTTTTGGTGGTAAAACAGCCTGCGCAAAATCGAGCTTCTTTCCGACACTTTTTTACGTTCATTTTACGAGAACAATCAGTGCACTGCATCGGTTGGCAACTTTTGGGACTGGAGAATGCTCTTGAATTTAGTTGCCAGGAGTGTAGTCTAACTAACCTGTTTCTCATGATACAATTATTGTCAGGGACATGGATGACAGTTATATTGGCATCACTGCTAGTCCCTATTTGTTGCACTTGTATTGCCTCCAATAATTCTGAATTGCGACAAATTCAAAGTTGTTGAAAGTATCATACAAGGTTGAAGTTAGTGATGAATAACAGAGCAAATAGTCAACATATCAACTGACAAGAACTAAATAACAAAGCATGAAAGATACTTGACAGCAAGGAAGTAATGCTGTAATGAATGCACATAGCTTGTATTCACTGATAATGTGACATAAGAACTTTTATTCAAATAACTTGGCAACTCACTGCCATGAAATTGACTGGTAGACAGTTAATAATTAAGCTTGTAACTTACGACATAAACCATAATTAGTAGTAGCAGCAAGAGCTGTTGAGGTATTGAATTCGGTGTGGCACGTGGGACAGTTAATCGAGTCTAATAAATAATACTGAAATTTCACGTCTTATACTTTGAGAGAATTATATAACTGTCACTGTTATCTCTTCACATTCATCGACTTGAGAAGGAATGATTTAGTTACTTCGAGAATGATTTAGTTACTTTGATTTCCAAATTTAAAAATAAATGGACACAATACTGTCCAGAAGATTACCTGTTGATGGCAACAAAGCGAGAAAATGCACTGTTCACAAAAATTGTGTTCACAAGGTAGCAACTTTGGTAATCGCTTTCTGATGTGAAAAGGTTCAGAACAAATTTCACAGCGAATGGAATGATATTCAGCATTTTTAACAGAAAATTCATTCTTGTCGAGGTTTGTAGCACTAGAGGTTTTTATCATCCTTCTGCGACTCTTCAAATTATTTGCATCCATATAAGCCTTGAAATTGACAGTTCGAAGGTTTTCCATTTTTTTTGATTAAAGATGACTTATAGAAAACAGGTGACGATTTTAGGGTATTTTGGAATCTCATATAAGTATCTTTCAACCTTAAAGATCAGGTCCAGAAGTTTTTTAAGAGGAAAAGAAAATAGGATAAGTGAGAAAAACAATTGCCATATTAAATTCATGGTAGAAATTGTCGAGACTATGAGCTTTCATTTATGAAATATAACTGTACCGTCATTTTCCGTTTTCTGATAATGAATAAAAACAAGTGTTTTATTCAATGAAGATTGAAAAGTCACCGACAAAGTGCCCTTAATTATGACAGCAAATGCAACTTCTGTTGCATGATTTTGAGAATACAATATTAAATATGCGACTAAATAAAAGTGTGAATGAACACTAGAGAGACTTCAACTAGAACCATTACCATGCAGCTTACATCTGAACAACTACCATTTCAGAACTCGTTGAGCTATCCTGAACGTGTAATTATTTGTTCATTTAGTTGCATAATTAGTTGGCTGATATCTACTCATCTTGCTATTCATTAATTAACAATCTATAATTATATTCACTGGTACAAATGTGACATATGTAAATGCGTAACGTTATGTCATGATATGTGCAAATATGGTATATAATTGTACATTTTAACAAAATGATAAGCTGATGTAATCCGTTTCATTTTCAGATATAATATTTTGTTTCATCATCGGCCGTTGAGATGTGTTATATCTTTACAAGTATCACAAATTCGGGAGGAAGAAGCCACAAACTGTTCATTGCTTATCAATAGCTTAGTGAGAAGTGATCTCTCATTCTTTTCTGGGGATTATTTTCAAGTACTACCGAAGGTCATGAATAAAATACAGGGGTCAATTATATTGGTTGGCTAACGCCAGCAAAAATTCTTCTGGCCTCCTGTTTTACGGGTATTTTCATCTGCGAGATGCTTTCAGCTGAAGTTATTCGAACTTATATAGTAAGAGAACTGAATAATTTCTTTTGATATAAGTTATTTTGAGGTTATTGTAGAATGGAAGAGCGACCAAGAGGAAATAAGGGAGATTCTTTGAAAATAAACAATGACAAAGCGTAAAGACATTTTGTCAAATGCCAATTTGCGATCGACTATCAACAAATAGTCGTTTCGTTATCGAATAATTCTGATATAGCAAACAGACAGAATGATATTAAAATACGGATTAACTGACACTCACTACCGAAAGCTTAGTACCATTTGTCTTTGTGAATAAAGTTTTTGCTATCTGGTTGCCGAAACATTACGTTTCCATCCGTACATTCTGACTGCTCATTTATCAGGAAAAGAAGAAAGAAAAGAAGCAACATTAAAAAAGAATAGATGAAAAGATGAAATACGAAATATATCTGTGTAAGTAAAGTGAACAATGATACTAAGAAATAATAAAAAGTTATGCGAATGCGAATTGATATACAAATTTGAGAAAAGATATGATAAGAGTCGAAGATTATGCAGCAGTATCTGCAACAGCATACCCGGAATTTTCAGGCGCTTTGTTTCCGTTTCCATTTTACTATCCTAAACTGAAGTGAATCAGCAGAGCAGTCTACTATCGTAGATTTTAAATTACCATAACGATGATAATGATGTCATTTTTTGTGGTTGAAAGGTGTCAACTATGGAATTTGCTGATAAATCAGATTATGGAACCGCTTAAGAGAGGACCATGATAAACAGTAAAGTAAAGAGTAGATCACCTGGTTCACGTACAAGAGAATACTTTCGTACCCTTGTTAGCTATAATCTGACATGGCATCAAAATCTCAGCTGAAAGCATTCGACTAGTTTTAGAATACTACCTCTCACCGTAGTGGTTGCTAACATAATTGAAAAAAAGTATGTGCGACTACAACGTTAACTATCACAAATATAATTTTGAAATCACATCCGATTGGTAGAAATTTTTCTTGAAAATTAGTATTAACAGAGTGAGAGAGTATTTCATCCGTTTTCTAAATAGGCAAGATAAAAGAGACTTTATGGTATGAATTATTTAATGCTTTATATTGGAATGGATTAAAATGAAACGAAATGGTAGTGAAAAAGAAGTCGGAAATAGTCAAAGGAATAATAGCCGACAAACAACTTCAAGAAATGGAATTGTATTTAGATAAATTATCGCCGGCTAATCTAATAATGAATTGTCACTTTTCTCAGATGATAACCGTGAGAGCTGGGAAAAAAGTTTCAGTTCTTAAAACCGTAAATATTTTATAAGGTGGTCTTTTGCTTGAAGTCATTGTCTATCCGTTACTTTGCATTCAATTTTAAAAGAGAATTCTGTTTGCAATGCATTCACAGATGGCTGAACAAATCTTCATCTAAAGTCGGTTAGGTTTTTTGAAATCTTAATAAATTAATGGCTTTCGATAACTTCATTAAGTAGCGCTCGATAAATTTCATAAAGTTGAAAATGGTCGCATCAGTTGGTAAGTGGTTTTTCTAATGTGGACCTCCTTTCTATAGCGAAGAAGAACTGATAGTAATAATGTCTGTCTGTTTAAGTAGAGGAAGCAGTCACAACCCTACTTTATATATCATGCTTTCTACACTATTTAACATTACGTATTGAGCAGATTTCTATGAGATCTTGAAAATAACATGCATACAAAAGTTTTAGTAAAAGATGAAAAACCAAAATAAAGAATTATAACTGGACATTAGCCAAAGTAATTAATTGCATGAGCGAAGAAGAATGGAAGAAAAACTTTCGAAAAATGCGTTCACTGAAATTGGATGTTCCTAAACATATATTTTACAAAAACAAAAAAATTTAATCAATAAACAATTAGATTGTGTTGGCGAAAGAAATAAGCAAGTTAAACCAATTGATTACCTGCACAATATAAAATATAAATTATATAAAGTGGATTCGAGTTAAATGAAATAGAGTAAGCGGAAATCCTATCTTCTCAATTTGGCCCTTTCATTTTAGATGAGCGCAACTGATCAGTAGTTCCATTGATGCTTATAATTTTTAAGTTCTTTAGATTTTTGGCGAAATGGAAATGAATATTTCAATTAAAGATATTCATATTTAAAGTTTCGTATGAAAAAAGCAAAAAATGTAGCAGCAAGCAGATTTTCGAATGAAGAAGTAGGCTAATATCGTTTGAAGCTGTAATATTATCAATTAATTTTCCAAATAAGTTAGATTATGTTGGATTCACAAATGCATTTCATAAAGGAGCAAAGATGACCATTAGAACTTCAACCCCCTATTTTAGGAATATAATCAGTCGTTCAGTTCAGCATCAACTCACAATGCTTAATAAAGACTTCATGCATTTTGATAATTTTGATAATATATTAAATTAAAACTGCTTAGTTAAAAAGCCGAAAATTAAGTGCATGTCTTCTATGGCAGTCCATCTGCTCTAACATTTTATAATAATTGATGGCGCAATTGACCACTAAACTGCTCGTAGAAAAGATGAATCACAGAGCGCAGGACACATTCTTCAAATTTTACATGAATATGCAACAAAAAGAAATTGAATATTTTTAAAAACAATCGCTTTTAGAAAGAAATAAGACCTATGATTTAGAAAGAAATAAGACCTATGAGGCTATGATTTTGAATGTCCTAATTTCTTTTTTTTTTCAACTGGAACTCTTTTTCCTAAATCCAAAATAAAAACAACATTTTATAGGTATTGTAAAAAAAACATTTTACAAAAAAAAAAAAATGCATACAGTCTAGTGCAGCTTGGATATTGGATGGAGAGGACAAAATTGATTCAAATTTGTAGATTAAAATCTGATTAAAATTTCTAATACCTGTTGCAAACTGATGGCATCAGTTTTTCGCCGATAAAATGATCCGAGCTGGAATAAATAGCACACAATAGTATGTTCCAAAAAAGGTAATTCTTCCTATGTTGATAAAAAAGTGAAAATTTTATGAAATTATAGCACTATTTTCTTTGAATATACCGCAACGGAAGGGTTTCATTTATTATTTTAATTCCGATGACATTTATGATATAGGAGAGATGTCACTTCTGCATTGTAATGAAAATGACTATCAAAAGATCATTCATAATCCAGTTCAAACAATTTCTTGCGAAGTATCAATAAAAAGATATAAATAATGGACGAACACAATTTAAATTCGAAGCTAACCACAATGCATACTTTTTGAATTGATAGGTTTGAAGAAGAGAATAAATTAATTTTAAAATTTGACCATTAATTTATCGGCATCTGAAAACCGGGTAGTTCGAGGTGAAAATAGACAATGAGTGAATTGGGTTCGAATGTGACAATCCATTGAAGTGACTACGGACAGTTGTCCCCAGTGGAACTTCCTATCAATCATATTGAAGTTTAAAAGAAGTGAATTAATGGCAGCGTTTTTGTATTTTGTGCTCACAGACAGATAGAAACAGTCGGACATCCAAATGAAATCCAGCTATTGTATGCTTGATTGATTGCCCATTGAATTTCAATTTCAAAGTTGCTAAAAGAACCTTGACTCTAATACACCGAAAGAGGGAAATTAATGATTATATTTGTTGAAATATGATTATGAAGTTTTAGCACATATAGATTACTTCCTCTACCTTCTAACTTTTTCTACACTCTTACTACCTCCTAGAGCAACTCTGCAGCTAAAGTCCTTTGCTATGATAAAGTGCATGTAATTTATTAGTATTATTATCTGTTTTATGATGAATGATACAGGAATAATATCATGAAAAGGCCTAGGCAACAATTCATTCGTATTTTATTCTTTATGCTTCCGACACGAGCACACAAGTAAAATTTACAGAAACGTTAACCACTTATGATTTATGGTATGGCTATCTGGCCAATTAGCCATTGTCTGCTTGACATTTCTTAGCGATTCTGCTACGAGAAAATTAATTGTCTAAATGGGATAGTGTGGTCAGCAAATTAGAATTGACCACGACACATTGTCGAAGATTTCAATTTCTTTTAAAATCTTGAAATCTTTTTTGTAAAGAAGACTTATGAAGAAACACAGGGTTTATTTGTCCACATGCCATTCACTTTCCCAATCAGTATACTGTATCAATTTATGAATTGGACCAAATTGAAAATCGTTATTACAGAATAATTTTACAATATTTGCAACTGTTTTATTTCTCAGCAATCATTTTACTGAATACTAATTAGTGGCGTCACTTAATGAGGCAATATTTGGCGGGGAACGAATCAACAACCGTAATGAATTTTAGCTAAATATCAGCCAAACGAAAAAACAACTCCAACTGATCAGATGTAAAGTTTTTCCAGATATTCATTAAGAGATTCGACAATGTAATGAAATGAATCCATTTCATTCATAATTTTGGACTATTTAAAATTTCCTTTTTGTGGATAATGCTTTGTAAATAAGATTTGTTGGTGTTTATTGGTTTTGATTTTTAAAAAGGCAAATGTTTCCGAAACCAGAAAGACCGGAAATTAAAAATTTTCTACAATGTTCTTTTATTATAAATCTTCAGAAAAACTGACTTCATTCTATAATTATTTTTAGTTGAATTCAAATTAGTGTTTGGGAGATGTAATTCGGGAAGGATTAAAGTTTCTGAGTATTAAATAAGATCAATGGCCAGCTGACAAACGTAATCAATGGATTCGTGAATAATACCTAGAAAGCAAGTGATAGGAGTTGTAGAGCAGTGACCGACGTTTAAGCACATAAAATTCAACAGCTTTTAATACAATCAAATTTAATGCGCCATCAGCCAAATGTACGACATAGGCATAGAGAAGCGAGAGAGAGGAACGGAACTATCCAAATCGAAACATTGGCAAGTCACCCACATGTCGGATCTGATAGCGTGCTTCATCGCCTGAACCGGTATTCCGTATAAGTCTTCGGAATGGTAAGTATTGCATATGATCATTTTGAATATTTTCCAGAACATCGGACCAACTCTCTGCAAATCTGGTTCAAGTTTGGTTGAGATTGTTTTGAGATTCATTGGTTCTACATTCTATACCGTATTTTCCTTTGAACTTAATAAGTATATCAGTCCGATTTTTTGCCTGAATATTTCCCGGAAAAATTAAATTTAGACCATTACTTCATAGTATAAAATCTCTTATCGCATTTTATTCTGAACGATTTTACAGATCATTCAATAGTTCAGCTAAGAATTTTTAAGATAGTTCAATTTTTTAAAAATCAAATTAATTTCAAACAATAATTTTCGAAAGAAGGATTTCGAAAAATGCTTACCATGATCAGCTCGGGATAGCAAACCTTCTGAAGGTATATAAGTTAACAAAAGCTCATCTGCTGAAAAAAATGAAATACTGTTGACTTATCAACGACTATGCCAAAAATATGCATATAGATGCAATTTCACTTGAAAATAATAATAAGTGAAACTTTCCATAATTCCGCTTCTTCTTTCGGGATATCGTAAGTGTTTTAAAAGCGATAAGAACAAGAAATAGTAAAAGAATGAGTTCAGTGCCTTCTTGCTAAATCAAGCCAAGCTTATTCCAGGACAGAGGTTGAGTTTAAACATCTACTTGTTGGTAATTAAATAATGCTTGGTTTAAGTATTTTACAGAAGTGTCGCTAAATAACGAAAACGTTTGGTAATTTACAGGAAGTGAAAACAATTATTTAGTTGTTCACTAATTTCATGGTATTTAAAAAGATATAAAAGGTAAAGAATTTTATCAGGATAAAACGAATGATTACCGGGATGGTCTTTAAGACATTTAAAATTGTTTTAGTTTCATGATAACTTTCACGTTTGGTTGTAAAGAGATGAAGCTTACGTCGAAGTGTTAATTTCCTGGAATGGAAGACTGGAATGGCAATGGTGGATTGTACAAAGATTAGCAAAGCAAAGCATATTGTAAAATGGCATGATACGCATGTTGCTTCTCTGGACATATTGGTAATCTAAAATAAATATGATTGTGCGAAAATTAATTTTCCGGAAGCAGCCAAGCATAACTGGTAAAACTGATATGCACAATAACTGAATATTCTTCTCCTGAAAGCGTACAATTGTCAAAAACGACTAAAATGATTTATTATAGGTCGAAATTATACTTCAATGAATTTTGCGTCGGGGTCACTTCTTTTCGTAATTTTAAAATAAGTGATCATTTTCGATCAAACTTTAAATTCTTGTATGCTTCCGGTATAATTAAAAAATGTTTGATTATATCTTAGAATAGGAAGTATGCAATTCATCAAAAGTCTTTTTTACATTTACACTGATGGTAAGAAGAGTAAGTATAAATATGTCAAACATTATATCTCAATAAACTTGTCGTTTGCACTTATTTTTGACAAAATAACACCATGCCACTCATATTGGCATAATTAACTAATTTGTGCTGGATAAATAGATTATGAAGAGATAAGTAGGTTATGCCTCAGTGGATAACAATAGCTTGTTATGCTTAGCCAAATCGAAATAAGAAGCTGACTTAATTAGCAATTGTTATTTAGCATTTTACAGCCCTTCATTGTTTCTATTAAATGCATATCATTTCACCATTAAAATTATCATTGACTGCAGATTTTCGGTGATCTGAAGTGTTTGAACTTATCATCCAACTGGTTGTAGATTCCTTTCCAACTTCTTAGATCTTCTGGAAAATATGGGTAGTCTATTATCTGCTTCAGCGGATAATAATTAGTAAGTAATACCTAATTAGTATGCAACCAAGATAAACAGTTGGATAGTAAAATACTAATCAATTAAACATACAATTATAGAACAGATAAGTGAGTCCATATATAAGCGAACTTTGAAGGACTGCGTCAACCGATCATTTTAAATGCCGGATTTGTTTCTGAGAAATAAAAACAAGACTTGGGAAAGAGTACCAAAAAATGACTAGCTATTTCTGTTTCTAAATTTACAGTACTGTTGACAGTATAAGCAGTTTTGGCCTTTCGATGATTTATTGCTAATTAACGGCCGATCATCCTGGAATTTTAAATCTACTGATTGGTAGAGGTGAATAGGCATTAAAATAGTGGAGAATATGTGTATTGCAAACGGTAACAAGCTATATTTATGCTAATTAAACGATGTCTATGAGATAGATCAGAGATGATTCCTCAACTTTACAGTCCTGTCATCTTAAAATTCTGATTAGTATGATGTTTTAGAAATTTAGAACGAATGTTCTTAAACGAATGTTCTTTGTAATACAACAGATTAAGCTTAAACATAGTATTCGTCATAACGCAGATAAAGACGAGCAGAAAATTATCGAATAAACCCTTGAGCATTCCATTGAAATATTGTGTTTGGAACCAAATTTATTTCTTAAGGCCTTAAATAGACTATGGTGAAATGGAGTTCAGCTTTGAATCAAGATTTTATAAGTAACTGTTCCACAAATATAGATGAAGATAATTATCTCCAAGGCTCTACTTGCGATAATAAATTCCATTTGCTCACTGCTCTTCACTCCGTTCGGATTACAACTTGAATCGAAATAATTCGACATTTAGGAAAAGAGATGCAAGATCCATGGTACGAAGAGACAAAATGGATTAAAACTTCGAAAACACCAGGTATGGAAGATCCTTTCCATTAATTAAATTTTGTATTTCGAAAAGAGGCTCGATTAATACAATTTTCGGTAGGTATTTGGAAGTAAGACAAGAGAAGAAGAGAGGTTAAAATTTTGCTTGAACAAATAACTCATAAGTTTTTAGTTACTCATGATATTGACCATTTGGTTAGTAAGTGAAATTGATAAATTTCGATCCAGAACTGTAGATTTTCTTATTGAACCATTTCTTCGAAAACTATCTCTAATAATAACTTTGATTAAAATCATAACTTCAAAAAGTAATTCAAAAAGTTCAAAAAGTTCAAAAAGGAAACCACCGTTCATTTTCAACAAACTAAATGAGTTCGATTTTCTTGTTGTTGTCTTGAAGAGTGGCTAGAACTCTTTACTATATGCCAGGGTAACAGTGCCAAAGTGCCTAACTGCTCTCAGTTGATACTACCTTCTTGACATATCAGGCTTTTTGGAATTTTGCATAAGGTAACAAGAGTGCACTTATACACTATAATAAAGCTATGAAAATGATTGAAGCGCGAAATATTTGAAGCACATTAAAAAAAGTCCCTATTAGCATTGGATCAGTGATTTCCCACTGCTTTCTATGATCCGGCTCATCGGATTTCATCCTGTCCCCAAAATCTTTTCGGAAAAATAACTTGAGAAAACGGTCTTCAGGAAGTTTATTTCACATCGTCGAAACTTTGCAGTTATAAATTGTTAGCATGTATTATTGCTGCATAATAAGTTCTTCCAAATTAAGCATTCTAATATCCTTGGATGTGCAAGCAAAGAGCTATTTCAATAATCAAAGAACGATAGAAATAATTCAGAACTCTCATCCTTTTCCATGTCACCCGTCTTACTAAGGCCTGATTCACTTCTGTAAATAATTTTTTGTTTAGGCTACCTTAAAAATCATTGACGAAAGGATTTTTGCAGAAGGTTTCATAAAGGAATGTAAGGACCAGTTCAAACAAAATGTTCATTTCCACTTCTCTACTTCTCTGATGACATAATCAGGTTCGTTTCCACAAAATTCGTTGAAAGCCTTTCTGAAGCAATTTAAATAATTTACTACTATTCACTCATTGAGACAAACAACAGATCTATTTATTGTCTACAGAGAATCGCTGTCAACAAAAGCCCTGATATAGAGAATCGCCACGACACATATATGGTTTTTGAACTCTAGTAGAATATTTAAAGCACTAATTTACTTATGCTTTCCATGAAACTAATATATTCTGAGTGGAAGCCTTTGCAAAAAAATATTTTAAATGAAGGCCAAAAGAGTCCAAATCTCCCTAAGCCACACTATTCCCAAATACAGTGAGCGAAGTGAAAGGACTGAGTGACTCCCAAAAAGTAATAATCCTTCCATTTTCATAACATTCCAACACTTTAGCTTTATATAGCTAATCAACTCATGCATAAGTAAATCTCGCAAAGTTACCAAGCTGTTCGGATTGGTAATAGCACAGCAAAGTGCTGTTTCAATGGCTTTCTGGCCACTGTTTGTCGCCACTACTATCGAAAGGCATTGAACGGACGTGCATAAAGCCGCTATGACATGTGCATTGAGAGTTTCAGTAATCCTGGGACAACCATGGTATGATGCAAAACTGTAATATGAGGAAGATTCAAACTTTTTCAGTTGCAGTCAAAAAGAGCTTTGGAATCAGAAAATGCTTACTGTAGCAAAAGTTGTCATGAATGAAAGCGAGAGGAATGGAATGTCTCAAGTATTCAGTGAGTGATCCTTTGCAAAATAGCCATCTTAGCGTGTCTTCCACATCTCGCACTTTATAGATTGTCGGGAATAAGCTCATTAAGTCAGTCAGTAGTTTTAAATGACAAAGCGACAGGCAAAAACCACAAAAGTTTAGAAGGTATTGAGCATTTCCACCATCACTATTGTATGAAATTCTTCAGCTTCCATAGTAGTATCATTAATACGGACATTGATAAAAATTATTCGTATATGGACAACCAACTAATTTTGTTGTCTAAAATTGGTACTGATAATGTCATAAGCATTGACTGGGTCTTGAATAATTTTTGAATGTCAATTAATTATAGAAGTCTTTCTTTATCTCAGGTTTGCATTTATTCTGCTTTAAAAAATGCATGTTATGATAAGGATATGACGTATATAAGGAACATCAAGTTATGCTTCAATTAAAATTCCTAACTACTGGTCGGTGAAGACGGCGCGGTAAGTAGAAAAAGACGGGGACTGTTCTTATCAATTCTGATGAAGTAATATGGTTAAATGTTTTGATTAAAGTTTTTTCAATTAACAGAATTTATTATTTTCGAACCTTATGATCTGCTACAAATAAAAAAGCCAAAGTAGTCCCTGATCAAAAAAAAGGTTGGGAAGGATATTGTAACAACAACGATAAGTGGAATTATTTATTAATCGAAGAGAAATATCGCAAGGTTGAGGGCCTTTAGCTGAATAATTGAGATTGAGAGCCTTTAGCTGCCTTTTGAAATGAAGCAAACAATAGTGCACCAGTGAAAATCATAACTAAAATGCAGTTTAATCTAATTTGTATTTGTCCATTTCTTGGCGTCACTTATATTTAAACTTTACTTCTTTAACTGTTTTGCATCCCCATTACAAATTCCTTTCCGTCACCTTTCTAATATGGCTGTATCGAGGTTTAACATTGTAATGACTCTTATGAAAAATTCTGAATTACTTTTCGCTGGCAACGGTAGGAGCTTTTCATCCTTTCCTCTTTGATCTTTTTTTAGCAGTACATGCGAGAACTGTTTTAAAGAGAACTGTTGTTAAAAAGAGCATGTCAAGCTCTTCTATAAGATCAGATCGTCCTCATATTTAAAATCGTTGGGAATTTCTTTCCCATAATGAAATTTTTCAGTGGTTAAAATAAATTTGTTGCTGACATAAAAAAAAAAACAATTACTGCCCTGCTTTCGACAGCTATTTCATTTCTGCCACAAAATTTCGAATAAAAAAAAAAATAAAATATAAAATAAAATATAATTTAAAATATAAAATCAACCGGTCAATGCATCATACTGTTTAGAATAATGGTTTATAGTAGTGATTCCCAAACTTTTCTTGACCGGGGACCACTTGGTTTTTTTAGTTGTATCAGGGACCACAAGGTTCAAAAATAATAAATTCTATTGATTTGAAAATAACTTTAACCAAAACTTTTAGCGTATTAGTTTATCAAACATTGATAAGAACAACCCTGCCTGTTTTCTATTTATTGCGTCATCGCTCTCTTGAACCATATTTTTTGCGGACCATTGGTAGGAATCATTAGCTTATAGCATGAAACAATCTATAAGCGTGAGGAACAAAAACAGCCAATAATATTCATGCATTCTACAAAGCATAACTTTGTTAAACTTGTAATTGATTTGCGATAATAAATGACTGTAATTCCAAAAGAAAATAAAATTTGTTTCGATCAAATTATTCAGAACAAAAATTTTGTTCTTTGTGAAAGCTGCCGTTCAGCACTATTCAGATTCACGAAGGTTGTCAGATAATGTATAACAAAAATAAAAATTCATGCATTGTAAAAGCCGTAAAAAAAAAAACTATTCACGAATATTTGGTAGAAAATTTGTTGCCGAATTAAGGGAAAGAAGAGGGAATGACTTATACTTTCTCGTAGTCGTTTGTAAACTTGGAGTAGGATGAAAAATTGTGCTGTAGTATAAAGCAAGGAAGTCAAAATTGCGTGGTGAACATCAAGTAGATGCCTTATGTTGCATAAAATAATTTTAAGGAATATATCAAATTTTCATGGCATGTATTACTACATCTAAATAGTTTGATTTAATTTTCAACCGTGGATTCGATACCAATTTAGTAGGATGGCCCAATGTCTTCATCTACCACTAATTTCTGCCGACGATTCCTTTGTATGTTTACTTTATATGTCTCGTTCCTTTCTAACTATCAAACAATTTTTCAAAGTTTATTTTTTGCAAGATAAAGATAACAAAAGAATGTCTAGGAAACATGTCTTTCTGAATCAGTTTAATAAAATATATTATCAATCCTCCTACTTCCTTGGTTGAATTGGGCTATACCAGTTATTTTTTTAAATATTAACCTCCTCTGAATTTCAAAAATTTCATAATTGTGCCTGTTGGAAAATCATATTACTATGGAATATGTAGATAGAATTATAACGCTAATAGTAATTAACACACCAAGATTGTAAATTTTCATCACCTTAACTATTGCTATAATGGCCATTAGCGTTCAAGAAATTTTCGCGTTTACATTTGCCCATTAATGCAATTGAGCTACTAGATTAGCTCTTATTTCATCTTGCTATTCTAATAATTCTTATACTGGTAATCTTAAATCCCAATCGGCACACCTACTAACATGGTCGACGGATAAAAAAAACCAAGCAATCAGCCGATAGATTGCATCCTACCAATATCGGACAATGTTCTGGTATCAATGCAAAATTTAAATATCTGCCATAAAAACTGGCTATTTCATCAGTAATTTCAATTTGCCGGAAAGAAAATTGCAATTTGCAATTTTCCATACCCATTCATGGAAGTAGCTATTGATGATATTGGAAATAGCATCTTTACTCTGAACTTTTCCCTAAAGGAAGAACACTTTATTGCAAAGGATTATTTCAGGTACAGCTAAAGAAGTTTCAGAATCGATTGATTTTTAAAATAACCAAGTAATATATGAATGTTGCATTTTATCATAAGCAGAAACAAATATTTGAGAGCAAAGTGACTAAATTAAATTGAAAAAATGGACTGAACATATGGAAAAATCTGCCCACCTCTCAAATCTTGTTAAACATGAAAAGACCTTGGATTTTCTCCAATACCTCTTCCCAATATATTCCGAAATTTCAATTCGAAACTACTATATCTCGGTCATAAGAAGATCAAAACCAAGGATAATGAGAAAATTCCTCGCACCAATCAAACATATCAAGAGACACTCTTTACACCAACAATTGTTAAAGTTCTAATCTTCGTACCATCCAAACAAATGAGTATTATTACTTACGTCCCTTCCTGTCCGGACAAATATATAGTCATATTATTTCAGAAAAATCCAAACACAACCTAATCTTCGAGATGTCCCATTGCCACCTCTATAACCATCCCTTTTTGTGCCTAACTCTGTCATCACCTTCCTCCTCACTCACCACAAACACCTCCCTCAACCAGCATTACATTGACCAGTGCAATCATAACAATTCTCAATTTCAAAGCCCACAATGCTTATCAGTAAGAAAGGATTCCAATCTGTTAAAAATCTTCGTAAAGCAAAATTAAACATGACTAATCCTAGCGCAAACTAATTCATTGTTGTGTGCTACACACAACGAGGACTTTTCTCCGCATTTCAATTCAATATTGGAAAGTTTACAGGAGGTAAAAAGAAAACCCTAGAGAATCGGAATCTAGTAAATCATTGTACTTTATGTATGAATTGCAAAGAACAGCTTAACTCCTAATATTTACCCAGAAACCTTATTTACGGTGCATCAAACTATGCAGTGTTATCAACAGTGCTTTTCTTCAATCCAGTGTAATTTAAACTGCTACCAGTTTTTATCGCTAATTTCACATCATATACAAAGAATGTAAATGACTATAGAGCACACAACGTGAAAGACAATAACAATAAATAAAAGCGTTACTGTTTATGCAAGCTGTTTTGATAATTTGAATTCTAAATTCAAATGATATCTTGTTTCTATGTGAAATAATATCGTAATGAGCTAATTTGTCGCTAATTTCACATTATATCGTCGGACGAGCTCCAAGCAGAGATACAGTATGGCCTGAAAAAGCATTTCAAATATTTATTCAAGTGAGTAAGAAGTTCGCGAAAAGAACATAAAGACTAATCATGAATTAATCAATCAAGGAATGAAAGAAAAAGCAAGACTTACAATACGATTTTTATGATGAAAAGTCAATAAGGAAATCACGGATTTCAATACCCACTGTCCTAAAAAGAAATTAAATGACACTTGAAAATCATTGCAATAAAGTAAAACTATACTTAAAGTATACTTAAGTTTAAAGTCCACTTAAGTATTAAAGTACACTCTTTAGCTTGTAAGCATATATACACTTCTTTTCCTTTACTGTAAATTGTTTCAATCTGATGCACGAAGCCTCATCTTCAAGAAAATATGCAATGAAGCGGCTTATAAACTTTGTCATACGCATAAATGAAATTAAAAATTGACTTTGCCAACTGTTCCGAAAATTCAAAAGTTGCGATACAGCGATATTTCGGAGTATCGAGATTTCCATCAGCGGAAACTCGGTTCAAAAAGCCCATCGCACACAGCTCCGCAACCTACAAACACTGTTCTATATTTAAATATTCTGAAGCATTACAATGCAAAATACTATGTTCATTTAATTATAATGGGCGACTTATTTGCTTAAATATCACTTCGTTGTAACAGAGATATTTAAAAATAAATCTTTGATGAATAAACCTGTGCATGGATATCAGCAGCGCAGTGATTTCTCATATCATGCTTTTCAAGCATTGCAAGATAGATGAAAAGCAATCTTTGAATCGGGAATGGTTTCGGACCAGTTTCGTGAGCTGATTCTAAGTTGTTCCGCAACCCTTTTGTTGCTGGTGCACGACGTCGCTGTTTTCCGTGATTCTGCATTTTTTCTTTTTTTAAAACATTCACAGATTGGAACTCTTCCTTTTTGTGAAAACTCAACCCGATGTTTACCAAGGGATAGGGAAGATGATGCTCTTCGTTCCTTAAATGAGACGCATTCCAGGAGGAAGTTCCAACTGTATTTTTAGAGACAAATATACAGAACTTAAAATTATACACTAATCATCATGGTCGCTCCATTCACAGAACACATATCTCCAGAAAATACAGCGTAATAGAAAGAACACTAATATACCAACAGTTTATAACCGTACAATTCAACTACCAGAAGCCAACTTTGCTAGTATTCAGACTATTTTGAAAATACTATGGATGATCATGATTGATGACAGCACACTGAGCAGAATTATCGGAAATGAAAAGGTCTACTTCTTCTAGTGCTAGCTGCTTTGTTGGTCATTCTATTGTTATATGCAGGAAAAAAAAATTTCAATTAAATGTATACAACAGTTTACTGAGAAATAAAGCGTAGCACCTTAAATTGCATCATTCTTATCAAACTGTAATCAATACCGCAGATGACAACCTAGTAAATCCACCAAATTTACCTACCGAAACATTATATCTCAAAAGATATTCGATAAGACATTTTTTTCGATGTATGATACATCCCTAGGTTATGTTAGAGAAATTAAAACAGTATACAATATGAAAATAATGGGTAGTTCCCCACATGATTACCTTAGTGAAAAAACGGCGATCACTGCTAGGAGGGTTATAACTTGCACAGTAAGCTGCGATAAGTAAATACTTCGCACTTGTAGACAGACAAAATGACTGTCCATCTTCCTGCAACGAAAAATTAACCATAAGTGGACCTTTGCATGCCTGCTCATTATACTTCAAGTATAATAGGTTTCACACAATGCAGTGCTGGCCAATACTAGCTTATTACTTTTTATTCATCGGATGACACCAAAACCTGTTGTTGCACTATGAAGTTAGGGCATAATTGTACCTCAGGTCTTCTCTCGCTGCGATAGAACAAATCATCGGTACTATTTTGTCCCCTAACTGCGTAGCATGTCTTCAGTTTGTTTGATGCTGCACTATTCGCCCAATTCTCATCATTGGTCCCTGTGTCCCACAGTTTTTCGATCTAAACAAATATGCAAAATCAGTCAAAACCTATAATACATTGTAAAGATCATGCTGATTATGCGATGCTTATAAAGTTCTTTCAGATTATCATAACTTCAAGGAAGTACAAAATCTTGCAATAAGATCAGTTTAAAAATTAATACATACGATGTAAGACAATTGGTTTAGGTCACGACACACAGAATAAACCATATCCAGCATACATCGAACAAAATTGTTGTCAAAATTGAGCCTAGTGGACAGAGCTTCCTGAACCTCACCTTTAATGGAAGAATTAAATTATGAATGCGTAACATCTATGAAATTCTACTAATTAAATACACTAAAATGCGCAGTCTAGACACAGCTTCCAGTTATGCAGAACTAAAAATGTCAAATCTTTTTCTTCACATCGCTAATACATTTTGCTCCCCTTCTACCAAACTTAATGTGGAAGCAAAATCTGTAATATTTTTGGTGTCTTTTTTTCGAAAGAAAGCCAATTCCCATTACAAATAACGACAAAACCTTATATCTGAGAATAAGTCGAATTATACAATATACCTTTCGACAATGCTTCAAAAGCGAATTGCACGGGTGACGATATATGTTCGGTAATTTCAAACCGTGTCCACGGTAATCGAGCAACCGACACTAACTTGATCGTACCACCATACTGGAATACACAAAAGTGCATCAAGCATCTACTGAAGTACAAAAAATAAAAAGAATATGACTTTAAGACTTTGTAAGCATTGTAAAAGACATATTGCAGTCTGTGCCTCCCATAAATTGAAATCGATCAATTACTTTTTCGGCTTATCATAATGCTCCATGAATAAATGAAGTAGTACCTTTTTAGGAATGGAAAAGAGTGCCTGCAAAAAACTCGGTGGAAAGTTGAGCAACATTTCGGCGTTATTCAGAATGACAACCATAATTACTGACTTCACATACTGCAATTCTGTCTTACACTCCTCAAATACACTTTCCAAATTTTCGATCTTTTTTCCAGGTTTTGAATGTGGCAACAAATTATATAAGCCTTGGCAAAACAATTTGTGAGATCTGTGATTCACGTAACAGTTCACGCGTAGAACCATAACCTGAATAACTTGGTCGTATAAAGTTTCGGAGGGAAAATTAAACCGTTTCGTAGCTAAAAATTAGGTTTACCGAACTATCCCATAAAAAAATTCAGCTGAAATACTACTAGGTTTTTCCCAACACTATTTTTCAGAGTTTTTACTTGCATTCATTTCAGTCATAATATTATACGAACAAATCAGTAAAAGGTCACTGTTTTACTCTTTGGCAACTGTAATTCCTTCCCTGCTTTTCATCATGCTTTACCATGCATCACACTAAAAATCAAGATATCAGGATTCGACTTACAACTTTATCACAGTCCAGGAACATCCCAGCCTAATGGCCACTTTTTCCCTACAAACTTAACGAAAGCTTTATGCAATATCACTTCGAGCGAAAAACAAACTTCATCATTCTCCTTTACTTCTTCAATAACTTTCTGCATCACTTCATCTTTTGGGCCAGCTGTCGTTCCATACACGTGCAGATGGGTGATACTCGAATTACGACACCTCAACACGGAAACAATTTGCCAAAGTTTCTTCGAGCACGTCGCTTCCATGGCTGACATCACTCTCGTTAGCACAAACAGATTACCTTTTCCCGATCCCTAACCTAAAATTTTCCGGAAACTCTAACCACAGAATCCTCAACGAAAAATTTCGGCGGATACAAAAAGAACGGCGAAAGTTACTAAACACTAAGCATAATTAATATCCGCTAATCTCTCCCATAAACTACAAAGTTGCTATTCCCTATTGCGTTATTTTCAGGAAAACATTTTATTTCAGAGAACTTAACAAACGGCACTCTTTACTAACTCAAATAATCTAACAACCCACGGTTAATAAGAATCTGGTGGAATTTGAAGAACCGGTGGAACAGTCCGTCAATAGATTTCGACAACACAATCTGACAACATAGAATGATAACAAATGCAAGCAAACAGGACTCAATTCTAATGGAAGGCAATGAAGCCAGGTTTGAACAATAGTGCATGAACATGAATTTTAGTTCCTTCCTGTTCAGTTCAATCATTTAAATTCAAGGACAGCAAAAATATTTTAATTCACATAAATTCTAGAAATAAGTTGACGGGTTGAACCGATTTACAAGCATTAACGTGGCAACGACAACATCGTGCAACACCTTGTTGGCAAAAAACAATTTTTTCTTCCAAAAATTACCAGGAGAAATACAACTTCGTGTGTAAGGATAAACTGGAAGGAAATTAATGAAAAGGAAATCATGTAAACATTTGGTAGGAAAACTTTGAAACCGAAAAACGGAAAGATTCGAGACACAATCAGACAAAAAAACGAAAAAAACACAAATCAAACAAAACACTTCTTATAAGGTAAACGTCTGTTATAAAGAATTATGATTAACGTTCAACGCTTGACTTATCAATAATACCCTTCTTTTTTCTATACTTCTAATAAGCAACTGCCAGCTATGTTAACTGCTAAATATATTCAAACCGCACAATTTTTGGCCATTAATGTCATTTCCTGGTGCGTAGACGACCAATAATAAGGCCGGACTATGCAAATGTTTGCAAATAATACACATATCTAATTTCATGAAATATGTTTTTGAAGTAAGCTAAACAAACCGATCCTGCACATCCTCAAACACAAATAATCGTCCAGTGTTTTTGGGTATCAAAGGTTTTAAGAACTTGACAACATACCACTTCTCTATAACTATTACATGTGCACAAGTGGGTAAACTGATACATATTCCTAACGATAAATGATTTATTATCATTATCTATTTGTTCATCAAAACGTTTGGATATGTCTGTCTACGTGATTAAATGCTAATTTAGATACCTCGAAATAATGTAGGAAAAATAAATAGAAAATACAGCAGGAAATCATACAACTGCTTCCCATTATTGCCGTTGCTTGCTATTTATAATGACGATGTAAAATGTATAGCGCGAAAGAAAATTTGCAAGAAAGCATTATGAACAAATAAATGATTGTAGATGGTTCGAAACATGTTTCAGAATTACAAAGATTAACATATTATAACCATACAATGCACAGCACGGTTAACGATACACCACAACTGATACTAAATGAAAAAATGTAAGAGTGAAAAACTGCTATAAAATGGCAAACTTAGAAAGTTATTTAACTTTCATTATTTGGTAACTTCATTGATGGAACTCTATATATGTATCAATATTTTTTTCGTTCCAAATGCAATCAAAAGTGAAATGTCAGCAGCAGATCTCACCAAAATTATTTTATTTTGAGAGACTTTGAAAAGAATACAAGAAATTCTTTTCCCAGCGAACAAGTGGATCTACATTAATACTTCACAATAGGAAAAACAGAACAATAGGACACTTTTCGCAGATAAGCTGACGAAATTCTTAATGCGAAAGAGACAAGGATAAACACATAAATGCAAAGTAACCAAATAAGAAAGCCATTTTTTGATTTTCACGGATTTTGTAGGAAATTATAACTTCAATTCCCCGCTCTTCTTTCCATAACAATGGAAAAAATGCAAAAATGGCTAAAAAAGCAATATGCTCCAGAGAAAAGATAAGACAGTAACAACAGTACATGAACTGGAAACTATTATCTAGTACAATCAAAATCCGTTGTTTTCTACTTCTAATTAGAAGGAAACACTTAAACTTTAGCTGCTTTTTTTTGTCGATTTGAACTATCCAGCGGTTCAGTCGTAGTGCCGGAAGCGGAAATACTGGAAACCGAACTTGCACGAACACTACTTTCTTCGGGCGTAGGGCCACGAGTACTGTTCACATGCGTTCCTTGGAAGCGATCAATATTTCCATGAATAATTACATCACTACCTTCTTTATTAGCATTCTGATGCTAAAATTAAAATGCAGTTGTCCATATGCCAATGTAATTTACTCAAAGTTTTTTTTTTTTTTCAACGTGCAAGACAGCGGATTATTTCGCTTTAAAAAGAAGTTCCATAAATTCAAAATAATGTCAAACTTGGCGAAGAAATTATATGGAACGTTTGAGTAAGTTTACAAGAATGAAGCTTAAAATCTATCAATCACAACCCACTGCCACTCAAGAACAAACCTGTAGTACTCAGTAAAGCAAGAAGAACCTGGTAATTTTGTGCGCCGTGATACTGCACTGGAAGGCTCACTGGAACTGCCCAACGATCCGAAGACTGGTAACGTGATAACGCAGGACGACTTGCTGGGAAAACAGTACCTAAATGTAAATTATCACACAAAATTTACAACATAGTACGGTGCCTTCTCTAACAAAACCTATTGCTATAAAAAGAAATTTCCTCATTTAAAATCCAAAACATTAAATCCTAAAGAAGCATACTATTTGTATATTTGAAGGAAAGCGCAGGAGCTCTTGTCCAGCCCGTTACAACACTACTCGCATCATTGGCAAGTTGTGGAACTGCTGGATAACGTATTGGTGGTGGTGGAGCTGTGAATGCATGAAGTTGTGGTGCCTGATTGAAGGTAGCAGCTGCCGACATGGAGTATCCAGTTTGTGACGCCTGCGAAAAGTTTAACGGCTGAAAACCATGCAATCACCAATTAATGCACTGAAAATTATTATAAAAACACGGAGAATCTGGTGCACCAAAATCAGATACTCCGTTCTTGAAAAGCTTTAAATTTTTGCCTCAATTCAACTTTTTTTTTATTTTCAATTTATTGTGCCTTTGAAATATTAGCTTTCCATAAAGGAAATATTGATTGATTCAAGAATTTATGTAATTTGCAGAAAAAAACTCTACAGAAACTTTGTTATAATACCAAAACTGGCCTCAAGCACCGCATCAATAATGTCTATGTAAAATATTTTTACCTGCTGCAAGTGTGGAATTTGTCCGATAGTATTTGTATTTCTGGACAAAGGGTTATTCGCTGCATTCTGTGTTTCCCCGCTCCGTTGACTACCTACAGCACCCAAACTTGTGCCTTGCAAAGAAACAAGGTCCGGAGGAGGAGCCATGAAATTATGTGGCGGATGTAATGGTGGGGGAACCTGATGCGGATGAGGCGGAGGTCGCCCCATATGTGGGATCTTAGCATTGCTGCTTAAAAGTGATGGTATTGGACCAAACGCGGAAGCAGATCGAGGCTGAAAGCACTATGCTTAACATCCCATTTAAAACGGTGTAAAGTCAGCAGGTAATTAAAGATGTCTAAATACCGACAAGCTATAAGCAATACTTGAAACTAATCAACAATTCAGCAGAACCCATACAGTATAATACAAATTTTTAAATGCTGCCCATACACCTAATCAACAGTGCACAAAACTGTAAAAAATAAAAAGTGTAAGACTAAAATGCTTACTGAGCTAACTTGGAAACGCTGCACAGAACTGACAGGTTGCGATGCAAGTGGAGGTGTGGCGTTGATTCCGGCCAGTAACTCAATTTGCGGATTAGCATTCGACCAAGTCATACTGTTTCCCGCAGTACCATTGGGAGGTGGATGAATGAAGAGCTGCGATTGCTCGACAAATGAACCGGGTCGCGAACGCGTTGTCTGAGTTTGACTTGCTGGGACAGCATTACTAATTAGCGTCTGCAACAAATCAGTGAAAGGTAAAATCGATAACAAGGAATACCACAGGAGAATGAGGATCATAACTGCAAAATGGTATCAAATTTGTTAATACATCTTCGTTATCAGTTTTTGCTTAATTTTGGAAGAAATTACTCACTTGAGCAGAAGTAGTCGACGAATTAGGGTTATACGGTTCATTAAACATCATCGAATAATGTGGAAATGGTGCCGGTGGTGGAACTTGCGTAAGAGACTGCAGATAAGCTCCTATAATTACTATTGCGATGAAGTGTAAAAAAAAAAGTGAGAAAGCGGTTTCATCTGTGTATATGTCTCGGTAAGCCACATCTATACAGTACATATATTTCCCGATCCTTTATTAGATAAGTCCAGTCTCAAGACTCAACCCCCTATTCTAAACATGAAGATTTAAAAATAAAAATTCTTTAAAGAATCTGATTTACCTGGCGGCAAGCATGCAATAGGAGAAGGTGGTGGAAGGAGCGGAACAAATGGAGTCGACGAACTCGTTTCTTTCAAGTTTGCTGTGGCGTTGTTTGTTACTTGTTCACTTGCCTGAGGCTGTGGTCTTACCTGGAAGATTACAAAAGTTTTTCAGTACTACATATAATTATTAGCTGATTTGCGAATTCGTAAGGAGCATTAATCTAAAGTATAATAAATTACTTTAGCAACGTTTGGACCATGTGGCACGGAAGAAACTCCAACATTACTAGATCCGCTTTTGTCAGCAACCAGTGGCGTAATCGTCGCACTTTCGTTATCATTTCCAAGTAAATTATTTGCAAATTGTTGCTGGCCAGGCCAGAAATCTTTTACCTGAAAAATGTCGAAAATAGTACGATTCAATTAAATACATTTTATTAAAACGAATAAGCGTGCTATGTCTCTGGTCGATTAAATAAAAGGCTGTAAAAGGATTAAATTGAGAAAACGGGACTCTGAAATGCAGGTAAATTTTTGCCAGTAATTGGAGAAAGTCATAAATGAGACTTTATCTAATCTTTGCTTCAAGCATTCATCATCGCTTGGTTCAAGTGCGACATTTGCCAAAGGTGAAGCACCATCCTGTTTCGTCACGAGAGTTTCTTTTGATGACCCTTTCTGCAAAATACTGGAAATCTACTAGTGAATATAAAAAACCATCTGAAGTTGATTAATAAATTCAAATATTACATCCCCAATTTTTTACAGTTGTTTAGTACGAGACTATAAGTTAGATAAGAAATGTCAAACGTGAATGACTGAAAAAATATTGTCTGAAAGTTCTTCAGTACGTGGTTCTCCGTTTAGAAAACCATTATTTTATCACGATGAGCACTGAAAGTTATCTTTAGCAACCATAAAACTCTTATGAACATCAGTCGATTACAAATACTTCGTACATTCTCGAATGACCTATCAGTCAGTGTATGAGCCCCCGGAGTTCGAATAAAATTACCAAGCTCTGGGTATTATCTTGTAGGGAATGGTCAAATGTAAATTGGTATTGCCCATTTTCTCCACGAATTGCAGTAGTCGTGTTAAAATTCGTCGTAAATTCTGCACTGTTTTTTTTCACCGTACCATCCACAAACTGAAAATTCTTAAGTATTAACAAATTTAATGTATCGATAAAAAGAATCGTCGATTCATAATACTGCTAAACCACAGCTTATGAAATAAAAGAGCAACAGATATTTTAGATCGTTCTAATTTCAATAGGAAATAAAAATAAAAACCTTCCGAGCCGTATGAAGTCGTTGTTCGCCCTCCGCTCCTGCCCATAAGTCAACTTCTTTTTTTACCGCGGCATTCACTACTGAGGCAGAAGAGATGTTCGCTTTCGGTGTAGGACGAGCTATAGGTGATGGCATGACCGGACGACTAAAACAAGAATTTTTAACAATCAAGCAGTGCATATATTTTGATTATTCAAATTTCAGTCAATAACTTTTATTCCTATGATTACGGAAAAAAAAGTGCGAAAGTGATTTTTATCTCTGAAAAGTTAAATATCTGAAAGTTTTACAAGAAATTCATACTTTTCAATCGGTGGAGATGGATGTGTTGATTGTTCACGAACAATCGAGCTATTCCAAACGGTAGTGTTGAGGGTATTCTGTGCATTCGTCAAAATTGGACGATTCATACCACTAACAGCATCTCTGACTCCATGATTACTCGTATTCATACCACTGGTTTTTGTAGCACCCTCGTTAGCTAAATTAACACTATTTGGACCAGTACGGTCATTCTTCGTTGCTGATTTCTTTCCTACTCGCTTCGCTTGCACTCGCGCTTTACGCCGTTCCATTTTCTCCTTTTCCTTAATTTTTCGACGTTCTTCCTAAAATAAAATCGAAGTCATCGTAAGGAAAACTGAATGTTTTTAAAATCGAATTTATATAAAAATAGTTAGTAACTCTTGCATATTTTTTCTATTCTTAGCATTACAGCCTAGATGAATTACGACACAGCAATTATGACACATCTACTTATTCTTGCAATTACACCAATTTTTAATGGAAAATCTTTCTAGAAAGGCCAAAAATAAAGAACAATAAACTGAATTTGAAAAATTATGCCAAAATGAAACATATTATTTATTTCATTCAACCAACATAAACTTTGGGAGATATGTACGCATTCCTACATTAAAATTGTAATACGCGTGCTAACTGTAAGACACTGCTTACTGCTTCTAATTGTTCATTGATCTGTTGCTGCCGAAGTTTCCTACTTTTCTTGGACAATACTTCTTCAAAATCGTCATTATTCTCCGTGGCATCATCCACTTGTCCGTCCGGACGATCATCAATCACAATCACACCTGCATTGTTGATGTCCACTCCCGCCAGCCCGTCTCTGCAGGTATCAGGTCTTCGTGTTGCATCACCCTGTGTTATCGGCGCTGTTTCCTGTTTCATTTAAATTGGGTTAAATTTGAATTCCTCCGTAATATCAACTTGAAAACGCCACAAAATATTCAACAAATATTTATGACAATCGTGAAACAAATATCGTTCAAAAGTTACCTCCTTTACTAACTGGGCACCGCGGGTGGCCACGTGCGACGTAGTGCTGGCGGGTTTCACGTTTTTTGAACTATTTGAAGTACGATTGGATACAGTTTCGGCACCGCCTTCGCGACGTCCTGTAGAAAAACTACCAGATGAATATATCATAACAGTGTAAACCGTTATAATTTCTAACAACTGCAGCTTACCATTCCCATCCATATTCACATCGTAAAGGAAGAGAGGAAGTATTAAAGCTGAAGTTTAATTACATAAGTGAGACTTTTGCAGAAATGTCTCACCATTGCTAGAGCGAATAGTTCTGCGTGAGCTGCTATACTTTGATGGCGCATTCTGACGTCTTACCTGCCTGCAAACTCCTTTTCAATATTTCAAAAATACAGCTACCTTATAGCAGTAAATTAGAATTCCAAGCGTTTCTACCTAATTTCAACAGGTATTTGTACAAAAAAATATTAGAAACTGGAGCAGAGAATCCCACCACTTGCAATTAACTTCTGCATAATGTTTCACATTAGCAAACTGATTCAAATTACCATCATAAATTACAGGAAATCTTTTACTTTTGTCGGTCTGCGAAATCGCTACTTTCAGAAGCTGTTTCCCATTCTTCTTGTCCTTCTGAAGTGACCGGTGATTTCAACTGAGTTGTACGCCCAGTACCGCTACTGTATTGCTGATTACTACCATGACCGCCACTCTGACGTACACCAGAATGCCTACGCCGACGTATCTGTAAATTGTACCGAAATAAGCGCTGTCTTAATACTTCCATGTCAAAGAGAGTCTTAGATGATTTATGAAAAAATTGTCTTGACCTATAGTTGTGAAGCTCTATTTACTAAAATAATATTTCCACGTGTAAACAAATGTGAAATGAGTATAGACCCAAGTAAAGCTTAGAACATGAAGCTCAATAGTTGTTCCAAAGACAAAAATAAGAATAAATTAAACCACAAAAGGCACATCCTTGATCCACTACAATATAGAATGAAATAGAAAGATCTACAACATAATATTAATCTTAGTTATTCATGAAACAGACATACACTATTTGTTCCACGAATTCCACCTCGTCTGTATGATCCATCACCATGAGTTCGAGATGAACTTTCATCATTTACCACCTTATGCTCTTCGTTAACCTTTTTTCGTTTCCCTCTTTCGGGTGGATTCTGAAAAGTACCTGTTGTTCGAACATCGCTAGTGCGCTGAGGGTTAATTTTTGCTGAACCGGCGCGGGCACCTGCAAATTTAACATTGACATTCTAATCATTTGAATTCCCTGAAAAGCCTGAAAAATGCTGAAAAACCCTCATCCTTTTAGAAACCGCAACTTGGTCTGTGCTCTTCATAGATGTTCATAAGTTTATGAAAGAAAAATAAAGTGTCCTGTGTCGTCCAAAATAAATCAGCCACACGAATCTAATAAGGAAATCAGAATAGCAACTCAGAAAGAATTTCAGACATTCGGACTTACCCCTTCTCCCCGTGCGACTATATTCTTGACGTTTTTTCGGCTCGTATAATTGCTGAGCACTACGATGAGAACCACCCTGACGAGTGATATTTCTACTCTGTATATGACGTTCTTGATCCTGCACTACAATTACAGCACCAGAAATGTTATCCTCCTCTGTTTTCTCTTCCGCTAATGGTTCTTTAACAAATGGTACATTTACATAAGTATCTTCGACGCGAAATTCGCCCATATTCGAGAAATTATCCTCCTAAAAAACATGAAATCAATTTAATAAAGAAATACTGAAGCTTAGGAATTGTAACGCTGACAACCTCGAAATACACCGATGACTTTTGATGACGAAAACTGCTTAATTCAAAATATACAACTCCCAAGTACTACTGGTTACTGTCCGTCTACACAGCAGTTAGTCAAAAATTTTACAGATTTTCAAACGATGAGATTGACATTCATGAGTTTTACTCCCAAACAGTCGCTGATCATCGGAATAACAACAATAATAACAGAAAAAGGGATTAATCCATTAACCTGAGGTTCTTGACATTTCCCACGACGCTGATTCCGTTCACATCTATTTTGAATTCGATGTGTTTGCCCAGTGCCAAGATGCTGATGTGGCATACTGCCACCACGACGTATTCCCAAGCTACCGGAAGCATAACTTCTACTACCACGAGAATTTACCAATGATGAGCCACGTCCAGAACGATGAACTCTTGAATTCACAAATTCACGCTGACCGTGGAAAAGTCCACCACTTCCATCTGTCCCTCCATTTCCGTCTTCCTCTTCTTCGAGTGCGTAATAATCCTGGACGCAAACTTCACCATGTTGCTGACCATAGCTGTATTTCTTTTCTGTCCATTTATGCGCATCTCGATTTCGACTTCTATTACCAGTTCTTCGACCATGCTGGTGTTCATTTTTTGAATAAGCGTTTTCGGAGCGCCCTACCGACGAATTTTCATCGAGCGGTTCGTTCGTACTTATACCTAAACTTGAACTATGCATTATTAATTGAAAAGTTGTGTTGACACCGTTGACTCAGCAACACTATTAAGTGTACTAAATATCACCGCAGTGGAACCAAGATAGCAGCTATCCTTCATCAGTCCAGGGAAACTCACCTGATTGTTCACATACTGCAGGAAACTGCTGCTGCAAACGCATCTGATTTAAGACATCCTGTTGTGCCGCACGTTCCCTTTCCGCACTTTCACGTTCCTCCGCTCGTTTTTCCCAAACGTTATCTGCCGGTGGTGGTGCCATCAAAACTGCTGGTGCGTTTGTAAGATGTGCACCCTCAACTCCATCTTCCCGTGTTTTTGTTACCGCATGTGACTGTTGTGACATGCCGCTCAATCTGAACAAAATAAACGTATGTCACGGCATTACTAGCACAAGAAATCGATATGTGATACCTATCAAAGTCACTATAATATATCAACTTACGAAGCTTTTTGCTTTTGGGTTACCCATTCATTTGACGGACTGCCATCAATCTCACGATGAAACGATGCCTGCGAATTATACATTTGTTGTTTACAATGAATACATGAACAAAGAACATAAATGACAGAAGAAAAGCTGACAAAAAAGAAAAACTTATCCCTCTCTCCTCCACCACTTCTAGAAGTTGAGAACATAAGGGTTAAGCGACTTATTTACCCACTAAAACGATTCTTGAAAATAAGGGAGTATCAGGCTTCAGTAAAAGTAGACCACTTATCGATGTAATATAAAAAAGATTACTCATTGTTTGCTTTCTACTACCAACATAGCATCCCTACACTTAATAAATATAATCTACATCATTTCGTTCGACCTCTGATAGGATATAGGTTTATAACCTTCTGTTGGTGCCCGTGTGAAGAGGTTTGGATACGTGAGTCACTAGTTTTTTTGTCGATATTCTTCTGTTGCTGTGTCGGTTTACGCTGTGTTTGCGAATTAGTTGTTTCAGACGACTGATTAGTTCCTTCAATCGTTGGAATACTTCCAGGAGCCATTCTTTTCACGATTTTTGCTGCTGGTCGTGAAAGTTTTGTCAGTTGTAGTTCTAAAAGATATGATTGTTAATATTAATTATATTTTTTTATGCTACAAATCTTTTGTATGCAATCCGTTCCATAAATGATTGTCGCTGTAAAAACAGCTATAAAACGGGGGTTGTAGTTGTAGCCGAGAATAATCTCCTAGAAATCCACAAAATTAAAAAGTCTAGAAACATGGATGCAGCTTTTCTCACTCTGTTCGTTACATTTATATATACAGCACTTTTTGAAAAATGATGAAACCAAATATCAACACTTACCTTCATCATCATCATGTGTCTCACTGTCTTGCACACCCATTTTGGACAATTGTTGCGCAACATCTCCTTTACTTTCTGGGCGTTTCAGCATTCGAAATTCGATTCGCTGTGTTGTTTCTTGCTCATCCCGCCGAGTGGATACGTCGTATCCAGTCACAACACCCCAACATTCCCCATCTCGATCTACTGAATCATCATTACTCTAAAATGCACAGAGCTCATTAATTGCCTGCATCACTTCAATTCGAATTAGGCGACAGATCAATTCAGTTTATATATACATACATATACATATATATATATATGTATATATATATATATATATATTCCGAGTTATATGGAAACCTTTTGTAATCCAAAGCTGCCACGAATGGACTGATCCCAATCAGGATATGAGTCATTTTCATATGCATTCATCATTCTAACAGATCCATAACCCGACGGCACACTACCACCTTCGCTTTCCGATAGTGCTGAGCTCTAAACATTTCATTTCCAAAAATTAGTTCATAATTTTCTGGGAATGCTAACAAATATGAATTTCATTACTTCATGTTTAAGTCCGTCAGCGACCACGAATATCGTTTGATGATGAGCGTGGTAGTTTGAACCACTCTGCTCATCATTAAACGGTACTCGTTTTATATTGTAATACGTCGAAGTCACTGTTAAGTTTTTTGAATCTGGGACAACGAGAACTCGCGAATTTCCCCTTTTTCTAACAAAAGAGAAGTATGAGTTAAGAATCAAAATTATTTCAATCAGTGCTGTTCCATAATAAATAGTGCTTGAATGGATATACCTGGCTAGCCATGCGTCTTTTTTGACGCGAACGTTCGATAGCCGCTTCACGTTCAATATCCTGCCTGCGACCCAATTCCTCGTCGCGATCACGAGAATAACCATTCTTAGATAAATTTTTACATGTTGAATTCCGGAAAAATATTTTTGTATGAAATGTTTTAATAACCCCCTCTGCTTTTGATAATACTCTTACGTCAACGACTTTTAGAAACATACCTGCGAGAATTCGGAAGCACATTGCTGCGGTTCTTGACCAGTACAGCCAATCGCATTAAGCCATCGGTGCGTTTCTTCATCATTACTAGCATATGTAGTATTCTGCCATTCACCTTTAGCTCTAGAGGTGAACTCGTCGAAATCACTTCCCCTGCAATAGCACCAATTCCTCATTAGTATAAACCGAGTAGCACGAAATTCATAGATACATGACACAGTTCATGTCCTGCTGGGTGAAATGTTCAATCTATTAAATGAATTTGGTACTAATGAAGAAGCCTTACCGATTATCACATATCACTCTGCGAGCATAATTTGACTGGATATCACCTGATATCGTTATCTGCGTAGGTTCGAGCATAACACCGTCTAAACAAGTTTCAGAGAAATTATACAGATTTTCGTATAAAACAAATCTCTATCAGATATTAAACAACCTAGCCTTTGAAACCTTCTATGGGGCAGGGTTGATTACATATATCAGGCAAACAGGCAAGTCGTCCAAAACCTTGCAAATATTTTGGCAGGAACAGTAGACTCATTCCTTATTATATAACAATTCAAACAATTACTCAGAACACCTTTTACTTTCTCCAAATATCGTCGGTTGTTGCAACCTTCGTCGCCAAGTCCATTTTTCGGCTGTACTTGCTTTCCATCTGTTCCGTCTTCGGATGGCTGCAAGTGTGCACCATAATTTGACCCGCTTCGCGAAGAATCCATCTGGAATTCATAAAAGTAATAATGCAACTAAAGTTTTTCTTAGAAACAAATATTGTTGAGAAATGCATGCAGCAGTTGCTGACGATGAGGTTCATTCACAAATTCCATTAAGGGACTAAACGTAAATATTCTTCATTTTATTGAGAAATTAAAATTAATCTGGATGGTCCCACCCTACCACAACAACAGTTATGCATGAAAAGGACCGAAAACATGCTTGACACCTGCGCTGGAAGAAAATTTGGTGGTGGTCGACAGTAATTTGGTGGTGGAACTGCTATATTTGCTGGGTATTGAGGCGTCACTGAAGGAACACCTGTTGTGCTTGGGCAACTCGTTTTTCGTGTTGGTGCGCTTTCTATAACGCAAATGGAAAAACATTTGTAAAGCTACGAAACAATGAAGCTTGGGCATCTATTATTCAAAATTCTACACGTTTTGAATCACTGAGAAAATAAAATTAAAATTGTTAAATACTAAATATCCATCCTTCAATTTAGAAATAAATTTCTTCATTGCTCAATTAACTGAATTCGTCTTGCATGTACTACATATCCTCTGAGTAAAAAAAGTTAAAGCTGAATTGTTACAACCAACCTGCTGATAATGACTGACTGCTCAAAGTTTCCAAAGGACCTGAACTGGAAACAGATATGGCTGGCTGCAGTTTCGGCACTTGGAATGCACCATTTGGAGGTGGTGGTGGTGGCACTGCTGTTGTGTCGTAGTATCGGGAAGGCAACTGTAAGAGCGAAATTTAGTTCGAATCGAAAACAGAAAAAAGTTTCGAAAAATTTAGTTCGAATAATTCTCCTATTTATCAGAATTGGAATTCAGACTAAAAGATGAATGAAAGACTAAATTAATTTTAGACTACAACCACGCTATGCGAAAATGCATCTGAGGAAAAATTTTATACCACTAACAATACAAAATACCTGTCTCTCTGCAACACGTGTAGTTACAGTAGTGGATAAATAAGATGGTCCTAAATGCGAATGTAGCGTCACCTGTGGTACATCCCCTTCGTTTCGTGATACTGCCGAACTGCCTCCGGCACGCCAACTTCCAGATTCTGGAATTGAATAGTCGTTGAGTCCTTAATTTATTCGTTTAAAAAGTATCTTTGTCACACATGTCTTTCTATTTGCGAATACCAAATTACTTTCCGCGACTATTTTCAAATACATTTGGATTTCACCTCTTTTCGAATTATAAAACTGATACAGATTAGACGGGATTTTTTGCTGAATTGAAAAACTAATCTTCAAAAATTTTCAGGAAAGCTCTCCAAACTATAGCCGACAGCGATGATACTTGCCTAACCATTACGACCATAAAAACGAAAAACAAGGAACCAAGCTGTTTGTTACACATGTCTTTCTATTTGCTTAAATTCATTTCACCGTCTGCGAAACAATTAAGAAAACTAAAAAAGAAAACAAACTCTGTGGCTTGAGACTTTCGGTTAAAGCATTGCTGGACTGTTTTGCGGTTACTGCAGTAGCAGCCGCAAGCGATGGGAAATCTCTTGATGAGGCCGTTACTGTATTCGCATTCTGTAGTGCTGCTGCTTGCGTTTCTGCAACATTTGGTTGTTTCGCCCATGTTGGTCGTAAATCAGTTGTATGCGGTCCGCAGCCGCTGCTTATCCCGCCTAATGTGCTTAATGTAGCTGTTGTTGTTGATGTAGATCCCGTTGAACTGGCTGACGATTTTATTACCTGTAGTTTTTGATGTTCCATCAAGTTAATTCTTAAAAGATCATATATCTTGGAGCGAGTTTAACAAAAGTTGCGTAACATTTTATTTCTGCAAATATGATGATATATCCTGTCCTTCAGTGACTGCAGCAGTAACTAAAAGTGATGTAAAATTCCTCATCAGAACACAAAATAATCGAAATCTTAGTTTTTAACTGCTTAACGCTTTTTAAAATAGCAACTCCTCTACCGACTGAAAATCTGCTGCTTGGCCATTTGCTACGCCTGTATCCCCTTTGGCCCAACCAGTGCCACCCTGTGGCACGAGTGCAATATTAGGATCTTGTCCTTGACTTTCTGCTCTTAGCGAAGGTAACGTAGCCGGTGGTGGCATACGACGTACCACCGCTGTTGTTTTACCAAGACTTTGAAGTCCGCCATGTTTGCCCACACCTAAAATGGATATTGAGCATAACCAGCTGCAAATAACCCTTAACGTCATTAATCTTCCACAAAATAACACTGTAAAATTCCGAACCATGAAATTTGAAATTCATTAAATGGGAAACCGATGCTCCATGTACTTCAATTGCCTCCCCAATAAATTAAATAATATTTAGGATCAGAAAATTACTTGCAAGGAAATTAAATATAGAAAACAAATTGCAAAATACATACCGGGCGCCTTGACGGCGTTTTGATTTTTGCCTGCGTAAATACTATTTACGTTGTGGAGTTTAGGTTTAACGGCGCCCGCAGCGCCCCGCGCGGAAGACATCCAGAATTATATAAATGTAACAAGATACAATCAAAAACAACGGAATGCGTAAAGGGAAGAATCGTGACTGCGGGGAATTTGACAACCTGAAACAAGGATATGAACCATAAAAGCAATGAAGACATATTACCTTGAGATTATACCAAATGAAAAACCTTAAATACATTAGTTATCAGAGATTTGTGATTTGAAATCCGGGTATCAGCGCAAGAGTCCAGGAAACAGCGAATTTTATTCCCCAATTCTGCATTGCATCGGAAATCTTTAAATTAGAAATACTGTTCCAAAACCCAATGCAATCTGCGAACACGAAAAGTAATTTTAAACAGAAAATTTGGTAATTTCCAGATTTTATGACATTAAAGTTCGCATACTACTGACGTAAGTGAATTCATAAATAGCACAGATACGGTTCTTTTAAGCTACAAAGAACTGTTGCAAAATATTGATATTGCAAGCTATATTTTTAAGATTTTTGAAAACCAACTGAATAACTCACTCAAAAAAAAGAAGGATCACGTACGTACGGTACGTATGGGTTTAATGAAAGTTTATGTACTGATAGCAGTTAACTTCAAAGACCAAATACAACAGAACAGAAATCAAGTAGAAAGCGCCACCACCGGATTTATAGTCTTTTTTCCAATCTGCAAGAAAAAATCATGGGGAATTCCTGATATATTTTTGCACAGCTGCACAGCAAACCGCACATCCTAAAGCCCCTAAACAGTAGTTCAACTGCACGACCATATGTAACTTATTCGGTCTTATTTTTAACTTTTCCATACTTTTCTGCTCGACTAGACTTGAACATCATTTCATATTTTACATAGGTCAAAATCGAGGGATTTTTCAATAGTAACGACGAATAAGAAATAACGGTTTAACAAAACCAAGTCTGCTTAACATAAGTCAAGACGAGCACTTAAAATGAAAAATCAGTCCACTACCCACTACACCTCCTTTTTTTGGTTCCCAAAACTAATAAATTTGTGTGCCAAACTCGACATAAGTCCAATTCACTGCTTCTTTTTCCTATCAAACACAGATCGATTCAAGCATGCATGTATGCCATTTACTGGACTCAGTAAGCAAAAACTGTAGCCTACTGTCCCACTATCAAATTAAAGTCTCACCACTTCAAAAATAAACCTGAAACATATTCGATACAGGTATTAATGAAAGTGAAATTATGCACACAGCATTTATGAGTAACTCAGATGATATTACTAGTGTTCTTTTTTGAACTAAAACGACAGACAAAAAAGTTGAGTTTCCATGTCTTTAAAAAAAAGTTTCCACGTCTAAAAAAGTTTTCCAGTGGAGTCTTCCCAGTTTCCAGTTTTCAAAAAAGTTTCCACGTCTTTAAAACATGTAATCTCAAGCTATGTTAACGCTATGCTAATTGTGAAATTGGTAGCTGATAATAAAATTCCGTTAATATGATTATACTATGCCATCAACATGACCAGTGGTCATTCGAAATATATTTCCCTTACGCTGTCTTCGTATACCGCGACAAGGAAGGAACAGAAAGTATAATAGGATGACTTATTGCTAAACGAATAATATTCACAAAAAGACTTATCGATTCGATTGCTGACAATATGTCTGTCCACATTTGACGAAGTTAATAAATGTCCCTCGAATATAATCCCCAAACAAGGAATTATAAACGATAAAAAAAAACCTGCAGCAAAGCAACGATGGACAGAACAGATACATACACATGCAACGGCCACTTCCACACCTAACACGCGGGGTAAATGAGTTGAAAGGGATTGGTTTAAGGATGGTGATCTGTGAACGGGGAATGGATCTAACATGAGCGGGGGAACGGGGTGGAAGAGTGAGCGCAGTGATGAGCTGCGCGTGCTGCAGGAAGCACGAACAGATGCTGCTTTCGACTTCTCTCTTTTCCAAGCCACCACTATACACAAACACCCACAGATACACGGACATACACACACGCACACACCAGCCGACAGACCTCTAAATTGATGGGAAATATCGGCCACTAAGCAACCACGGCAGTGCCCTCTCTTCGTGGACATCAGTCGCTCTTGTCTATTCGACCTTTCAACTCCTTTGTTCTACCTCCGCCGTGGACACCAGCTGCATACCCGACCTTTTGACTTCCTCTCGCATCTTCCCTGTCTCATTGTTCGCCTAACCTACTTTCCTTGTGAGAATAAAAGAGAGATGGTGAGGACGACGGACTACATCATATCGGAGAGGAATAAGCGATTACCAGATTGAAGACATCAAGGTGGAACGATTGCGTCTTGAAGCTGCGTCGCATGCCCTTCCTTTAACTATGTGACATGCCGTATACCTCCTACCACTCTCCTCCTCCCTACTACCCTTTCCTTCTCCATACGCCAGATATATAAACACAGACATACACACTTCATAACCCATCACATACAAACACATACATACACCACACATATACACACGTACAAACACACATACAGACATAGTCACATACACACAGACACACAAACATACACACACATACATCAAATCATGCAGTCAGCCTGCCATTCGATACCAAATGACGGCCACCGGCAAAACAATTCACAACAACGCTAAGGTCCTTTCAAACTTACTAGGTCCGGGAAGGCATATTAAACGTGCCGACTCTCCGAAGAAGCATGGTCCTACAACAAGTAAACGAAAGGAAACCAAACACAAACGAGATCAGTAAGCGACTCCTTTTAGCACTCATCCATTTCTCGTCATTTCTTTCTCTTACCCATGCCAACCTGCCTACCACCAAAAAAAAAAACTCAAAAACTATAGCTTACAGTTTTGGAACTATAGCTTAAATAATTCCAAATATCTCGAAGAAAACCTTTTCTCCAAAATATGCATGTGTGATATACAAGCACTGACTTTAAAAAAGCCCGTTATATGTTTTCACCACCACAATCGCAAATACCGTTCGGATACGCACAACAATGATCCCATTATTTAGCTGGTTGTGACCTATCACCGAAAAGTACGGCTATAACTGAACCGTCGCCTATTACTGAATGATTAAATCAGTCGCCTGTTGGCTGTTTTTTATTAGCTTCATGATAATTTATCCCTACTCGAAGTACCTCTTCATACCCTTGAATTACTAAATCACCAATAGTAAGTGTTCCACCGATGATGTCACTGCACGTCGCATGTAACAACGAATAGACTCCAGAACAAGGCTTACAGTAAAAGCAAGCAAATCGTTCTTTCGAATTAATCCAACTACCATGAATAACCATATATGTGCCTTTCACAAAACTCCAAGATATGAAAAAAGATCAAGCTGAAACATTGGGAAATACCACATATCCTATTTGTGCTTTTTCTGTATTCATCCATTTTCCATTCTACAAAGTTACAGCGGCAACTTTTCCTATATTATTTCCCATAATGCGAAATGGAATTAACCTTATAAGTGAAATGAATATAGGAGCGAAATATATCCCTTCCTTATCAATGATTATTTGATTTTTCCTTTTTACGAGATTTGATTCTCGTTACCAGAATCTGAAACTATCCAAATTAAAGAGACGTCATTGAGTTTACAATGAAACAGATCGATTGACGCATGCAAATCGCCAATAATCAAACAATACCATTAGCGATAAAGTATTCAACAACTTGAGTGAATAATTTCGCGACTGGTGTCCTAGGTTCTTCTTCATAAGATTAAAATCTTTGTGTTGTAATTATATCAGAACAGAACAATCATGGAGACTTGGTGAGCTTTGTATTCACGGAGATCCAATTTGGACAAGGTCTCTATCTGTCCCCAACACACCAGGCTGTACCAAAAAACAGGTTTTCTTTGAATAAGTGCATAGTTGGAAGACATATTGGCTAAGCTACAATATTTCTGAATTAAGATAGTAAATGTACCATCTCGGATATATATATATATATATATATATGTACATATATAATCAATTACCAAGAAATACGGCTCATAAACATAACTGAACAACATGTTCTACTTACTTTTGATCCGCAAAAAACGGAAGTCAAATTTCTCATAATTATTGCGAAATTTTACAAAAATCATATGGTGATCGTTAGCCAAAACATCCGTATAGACTCTGAAACCACTTGTAAAAGGCTAAAACGTTGTAACATTCGCATCCGAAGCGGATCTGGCTGGAGATATACTCCTAGATAATGAAACATTTCCACTTGGTTTTGCTTCTTAATTATTACGCACAATGATCACAGGAATGTTGTGTAGTTAACATTCCTCTTTTATATAAAATGCTTCTTAATAACCTCTAGAAGAATCTTTAGCATAAGCCCCTCAAGGAGAAGACTTTGATTCCACTGAGTAGTGAGTTATTAATATCTGATTTCGTGGTGATGGAGACTA